AGCTGTCTTCTAGCCAGGGGTAGTCAAGCCTCTTTTTTTGTACCCTTGATGGAGACAATATCTCTGTAATCTCAGGCCAGAAACTGCCATGTGCCCTTTCTCTAGCTCTGGTGATCAAACAATTGGGAAAAGAAGGAGATGGTTTCACTCTTGCATGAAAAAGCTGCCTCTGTAAATTTTCTTTCCCTCAGTCTTCAGTGCTTCATCTCTTAGCTCCCTGTCGTGCTCTCTGTGTGAGGCTGCCCTTGAGCCAGGTCGAAAAGCTGCAGCCACTGCAGCATGTGGCAGGCAAAATGCCAGAGAGGCCTGATAGCCAACAACATGTAACACCATAATTAAAGCATCTGCACTGATTGCCCATCTTCTGCTGAGCTAGGTTTGAGGTCCTTGTGTCGATTTGCAAAGCCCTTGATAACCTAGGTCCAGGATACATAAGGGCCACCTGAGCACTTAAACCCCAGTTCATTCACTGAGAACCACTAGAGGAATCCTCAGTAGCAGGCAGTGCATGTGGCGCAAGTGTACCGTTGCTCTTCTGGCTTCTCAACACAGTAGGTCACTGTCGCTTACTAAGAGGAAGAGAGGAAGGGTGACACATGGGGAGCTTCAGCCCATGGAGGTAGATGAGCATTGGATTCACTCCACCACCATGCGCCATGCCAGGTTCTCCATGTCTCACCCCTCCCTCCTCACTTAGCCAGCAACCTGCTGTGTTGAGGAGTGCGGAGACCAATGGTGCACCACACATTTTCTCTGAAGGAAAGGCACTCCAGATTTCATCATAGCTTTTTCTTTACCTTTTAAAAATATATCTCCAGGAGAGATTTATTTGGAAGGTTTCTGAATGACTTTTCTGGTAGAGCCAATATGACAAAGACTCCAAAGCTCAGCACTGCCATGGATCAACAGTGATACATTATGACTCCTGTCTGGGATTCTGGATGCTCTATAACATTTCTGGGGGTGCTTGTTGCAGCTTTGACTTTTCCCATGAAGCTTATTTGAAATCTCACTCTCAAACAGTTCTATTTTTCAAGTGACAAATGACCACAAACTGAAGGGACTAGGAATTAGGTTTTAAAACAAATTGACAGGCTGGAATCATAATAAGTCACATAGCCCACAGAATATTCAGCTAGAAGTTCAAAAGCAGAACATTTTTGAAACAACAGCAACAAATTATCAAGAGAGACTTGAAACTATCACAGCCTCCTACATAAGAAGTGGGGAGTCTTATTTTAGCCCTGGGGTCACTCCTGAGCAAATTTCCTGGGGATTCATGCCAGTGGTGGTCATGGACAACAGGTGTGAGTCTTGCCTTTCTTTGGTAGGCTGCCCCATGTAGATCTCACAGATGGGATGAGGAAATCCCAAAGAGAGGGGAGAAGAGACCCGTGAATTGGAGCTAGATGCCCCAGTGGAGGGGGGGTGGCATGCGCAGGATGAAGGAGGTGAAACTGGGGCCTCACGAAATGTTTGATCTGGAGGAAGGAGAGGGCCAGTGACCAAGGGAGTCAGGAGCTGGAACCTGAGGAAAGTTCAAGCAGATTGTCAGAGAGGGATCCCACCCCTATTTGGTTGCCTGTAGTCAGGCACCTCCTAAAGAGTCATTGCTTCCAGTCCCTTCTGCAAGTAAGGACTCGGATACTGAGCCAGAATGTCCATCAAAAAGGACATGGAGGTGCCATTTTTGGTGTGAACAAACCACACAGGCCCAGCCCACTCATAGAAGAGCCCATTTGCTTGCCCAGAGATGCCCCTCATCTGCCACACTAAGACTTGTGCTTACCCCACGCTTGAACAGGAAGAGGTAGGGACCATGGAGTTTGTTGGGTCAAGGCCTTAGCTCATGCTTAGCCATGAAATTCACCTGCTGCACCTTCAACCTTCGTCTATATATCATTTAGATTTATGCATTAAAGAATCTGGCAGAAACAGAAGCCTGACTTTGAGTTCTTCAACCAGCAGCGAGGCCCAGAATGTATTTTAGCATTGCAAGTGTTAGAGGTTTCTACATGTACTTTTCTCTATCCAGGCAAACTATTCTAGTTAAAAGGGCGAGGAATGCTGCATTTGACCCAAGGTTCTGCATCCCCCATCACACTTCCTTAGTAGTCAGAGTTTGTTGCGGAAGTGCCTTAATCAATTTAATTCCATGTCCCCAGCCAGTGAGTGAGTGAGACTGAGCACCTGCTTTTATTAGGTTTAGCAAAAGTACTTGCTTTGGTGTTTTTGGCTTTTTGCAACCTACAATTTAATTCCCAGCTTGAAAGGAGTTCCTGCCAGCTTTGTTTTCTCTAAGGGAGTAACAAGCAAAGCTGTTTCATAATTCATGGGCATGTCAAAGAAACAAAAGCAGAGTCTGTTGAAATGCCACAGCCACCTTGCAATGTGTCTTTTGCAGATTAGATGCCAGAACTGAAATGTGTTACAGAGGGGTGACCAAGGACCCTGTGTTAGGAATTCTGATTCCAGGAATTTTGAAAGGAAGGTGACTTCTTTCCAAAGGCTGCATGAACTCATGGACACACATACACACACATTCCTCAAATATTACCTTTATGTGCTACCTAAACCACAGAGGTCCTTGGATGGGGCACTTTTGGTGGTCCAACATGCCCCTGACATTGGGCTGGGTTTTACCTTTAGCAAGGCAAGCCTTGCCCTGTGGAACTCTTTGCCAATGGAAGTTTCGCAGGAGCCATCCCTACTCATTTTTACATATTTTCTGAAAACAGTTTTATTCAGACAGGCGTTATAATCTTGAGATTCTTTGCCAAGCAGCTTTTCCCAATGCATTTGAAATTTTCAGTTGCTTTTACTATAATATTGTGTTTTTAGTTTTAATTCCACCTTGTGATTTTTATACATGAAAGTTCAGTAAGTAAGCAAGCAAAAATTTAAAAAACTCAACATCTCACCACTTGAAAGTAAAGGACAAGGGATGTAGCTCAGCAGTAGAGCACCTGATTTGCATGCAGAAAGAACCAGGTTCAATCCCCAAAAGGGCTGAGAGAGACCCCTGATCTGAGGCCCTGGAGAGCTGCTGCCAGTCAGTGTGGACAATACTGAACTAGGCTGACCTCTTACAAGTCACCTTATGCCATAGCTCAGTGATAGAACACCTGCTTTGCATGCAGAATGTCCTAGGTTCAGTTCCCAACTCTGCTGTGCTGTTTCTGAAACCCAGGAGAGTTGCTGCCAGTCAGTGTAGACAATCCTGAAATAGATGTAGTGAAGATATGACTTGGTGGAAGGTAGCTTCCTGTGGTCCTATGATTGCAGCCCAATTAAGCCAAATGAAAAGCACCTGGGGGCCCATGAGCCAAAATTGACACAAAAACCCAATTTTGTATGCCCCCTCCAACGACCACACAAAATCTTCACTCAGATGTGATCTAAATTCTTCCTGATGTTCCACTCAAAAGCATTTTCATAGGAAGCTGTCTTATTCCAAGACAGACCATCAGTCCATCTACCCTAGCATTGCCTACCTGGACGTCAACCCACCTCCAGTTTCAACAGTCCTGCTGTGGGCAGGTGTCCATTTCCCACCTGGACATCCTTCTCATTGGTGTTCTTTCTCATATTATGTTGCATGGAACATATGCTGCCGAATGGCTTTAAGAATCAAGCAGGATTATGCACGATAAGCCTAGTCATTGAGACATTGGAAGCAAACTCATTAACCTGAGCCAGCCAGTAATTGTCAGTTTGGAAAATGTCCCTTGAATACCCTGATGGCTCATACATGAAAGAACGACTGGCTCAGCAACTTTACTAAAATGGATCCTGCATTTGTGCAAAATACACTTTCAATTGGCTCAGGAAACCAAATATTTCACAGCAGCTCATGGACGCCGATTGCAAGTCATCCCAGCCTGAAGCTATAGAAAGGAACTGCACTAAACACAACTAACTTCTCTGTGCTGTTATACGCACTGCAATTTTAAACAAAGGAGAGTGTACAGCAAGGCTCACCTTTTTAGTTCTAAGGCAAGTTTGGAATTTCTCTCCCCTGGATCTGTGCATGCACACATGTAATTTTTTTTAAAGGGATCTGGATAAAAGTCTGTCCTGTTCCCCAGTGCAGTGAAGCAAGAAAAAGACTGACTGAGGTGTAAGACTGGGTGTAAGACTGGTGTGTAAGACTGGGACAGTGTTCAGACTGGACACAGGGCACTGAGAAACCAGACTGAAACTAGCAAAATTAATTTCAATAGGGACAAATGTAAGGTTCTGCACTAACAAAGGAAGTACCAGCAGCACAAATATAAAATGGGAAGTACTTGGATTGTCATGAGTGCACATGAAAAGGATCTAGGGGGTCTTAGCAGTCCACAAATTTAACATTTCAACAGTGTGATGCAGCAGCAAAAACAGCTAATGCTATTCTAGGCTGCATCAACAGAAATATAGTGTCCAGGTCAAGGGAAGTAATAGTCCTGCTTTATTCTGTCTTGGTCAGACCACACCTGGAAACTGTGTCCAGTTCTAGGCACCACAATTTAAGAAGACTGTTGACAAGCTGGAACGTATACAGAGAGTAACCAGTATGAGCAAGGGTCTGGAAACCAAACTTTATGAGGAAAGGCTAAGGGAGTTGGGTATGCTTAGCCTGGAAAAGAGTAGACTGAGAGGAGATATGATAGCCATCTTCAAATATTGGAAGATGGAGCAAGCTTGTTTTCTGCAGCTTCAGACCATATGAGTCAATGGCTTCAAGTTACAAGAAAGAAGATTCCAACTAAGCATCATGAAGACATTTCTGACAGTAAGAACTGTTCAACAGTGGAATGGTCTCCCTCAGGAAGTTGTGGACTTCACTGGAAGTTTTTAAGCAGAAGTTGGATGGCCACCTGTCATGGATGCTTTAGCTGAGATTTCTGCATTGCAGGACGCTGGACTAGATGACCCTTGGGGTCCCTTCCAACTCTACAATTCTGTGATTCTATTATTCTATGAATCATGAAAGTATGGTACCACACAATCAAAAAATCATGATATATTGATATCACACTATGATTTCATGAAATCATGATGCCACACAATCATGAGATCATGATATCTTGATTTTGCACTATGGTTGTGTGGTATCATGATTTTGTGAAATCATAGTGTGATATCAATATATCATGATTTCATGATTGTGTGCTACCATGATTTGTGAAATCATGATTCTGTGGTATCATAGTGTGGTATCATGATTTCATGATTATATGACATCATGATTGTGTGATATGATTTCATGATATCGTATCACAAAATCATGATATCATGATATCATGATATCATGCAATTGTAATATACAAAGGGTGTATGTGGTATTACAGGAGAGGTACCGTGTTGGTCCAAATATAAGACGTACCTGCAAATAAGCCGCACCTTTAAAATTGGAATCTTACTTGTGGGTGTTGCCCGGCTCTACTGCCCTGAACGGAGAGAGGGGTTGGAAGCCATTGCCGGCGCTGGCACTCGGTTCAAATATTGGAAGATGGAGCAAGCTTGTTTTCTGAAGCTTCAGAGCATATGAACCAATGGCTTCAAGTTACAAGAAAGGAGAATCCAACTAAATATCAGGAAGAACTTTCTGACAGCAAGAGCTGTTCAACAGTGGAATGGTCTCCCTCAAAAGGTTGTGGACTCTCCTTCACTGGAGGTTTTCAAGCAGAGATTGCCTAGCCATCTGTCATGTATGATCTAGCTGAGATTCCTGCATTGCAGGTGGTTGGACTAGATAACCCTCGGAGTCCCAGCTCTAAATTTTTAGTATTCTGTGATTCTATGTGACTTCTTGAATTGCTCCGTAAGGGAATAAGCTGAAACTGAGACCTTATATCACAGGTGGGGAGCCTCTGGCCTTCCAGATGTTGCTGAATTACAACTCCCATCAGCCGCAGCAAGCATTGCCAATGGTCAAGGATGATGGAAGTTTTAGTTCAACAACATCTGGTAGGCCAAAAGTTCCCCACACCTGCTTTATATGGTAGTAGCAGCCTGTTTGTTGGCACCACCTGTTGTGTAAGCTGCTGCTTGACTTGAAAGGCCCAGATTTCTCTAGTAGTATTTGAGTGTGATGGAGCAAGAGTCTCAGGTTTATCTAGGTCTTCTTCAGTGGAGGCCTCTGAGTCACATCCTGTGCCACATCCTGAGGTTGAGAGGGGAGCACTGGCTCAGAAGTTTTATCTGATAACACAGCACATCTGGGGAGGGCACCTACATGCACGTAATGCATGTAGTCCCTGCCTCCATAACCCAATGAAGAAAAATCTGACTCCTGGTCTCTGACAAAGTCAGAACCAGTAGAATTAATGTGAGCCTTGGAAAGCACATAGAGCTGAAAGAGGAAGTGAGGAAGAGAGCCATTATGTGCTATTTGTTGGCTGCCCAGATAGCACAGATAAATTTGTAAACATGGTGGAAAACAATGGCTCTCAAAGTGAACCATTCACAGTGGGATCAGGAGTCGAACAGGATTGTGTTATTGCCCCAACTCTATTCATTATTTTCATTGCCATGATCCTACACTTTGTCGAAGGGAAATTCCCCACTGAAGTAGAAATCATATATTGAACAGATGGAAAGCTCTTCAGTCTGAGCAGGCTGAAAGCAAAGAGTAAGGTTACCATAACTTCCGTCATAGAGCTTCAGTATGCTGATGACAACGTAGTGTGTGCACACTCAGAGGATGACCTCCAAGCCATCCTAAATATCTTTGCAGAAGCTTACGAAAAGCTTGGCCTATCACTCAACATCCAAAAAACCAAAGTGCTGCAGAGACAAGTACAAAATAACCCCTCTGCAGCACCACAAATCCAACTCAATGGTGTAACGTTGGAAAATGTTGATCACTTCTCCTACCTAGGCAGTTATCTTTCCACAAGGGCCAACATTGATGTTGAAATCCAGCATCGCCAGAGCTCTACAAGTGCGGCTTTCTCCCAATTGAAGTGCAGGGTGTTTGAGGACTGGGACATTCGCAGGGAAACCAAAATGCTTGTTTACAAAGCTATTGTACTACCAACCTTACTATATGCTTGTGAAACATGGACCACTTATAAACGCCATCTCCAACTCCTCGAAAGATTCCATGAACGGTGTCTCTGAAAAATTTTACACATCACTTGGGAAGACAGGCAAACTAATATCAGTGTACTGGAAGAAGCAAAGATCACCAGTGTGGAAGCAAAGACTCTTCAACATCAGCTTCGTTGGACTGGTCATGTTGTGTGGATGCCTGATGATTGTCTTCCAAAGCAACTACTCTATTCCAAACTTAAAAATGGAAAGCGTAATGCTGGTGGTCAACAAAAGAAGTTTAAAGACTGTCTCAAGGCAAATCTTAAAAAATGTAGTATAAATACCGACAACTGGGAAACACTGGCCTGTGAGTGCTCCAGCTGGAGAACAGCCTTTACCAAAGGTGTCATGGGCTTTGAAGAAGCTCAAACTCAGGATGCAAGGGAGAAACGTGCTAAGAGGAAGGCACGCTTGGCAAATCCACACCGTGATCAGCTCCTGCCCGGAAACCAATGTCCCCACTATAGAAGGACGTGTGGATCCAGAATTGGCCTCCACAGTCACTTACCGACTCATTGTTAAAACTGTGTTTATGGAAGACAATCTTACTCCGCTACGAGTGATTGCCAAAGAAGAAGATGCTTCAGTCTAATCAGTGCATGAAGGCTTTAAAACCATAAAGTGTGTTGTCCTGCCATACTTAGCTTATGTCTCTTTCTCTCACCTTGGAAGGAAATGGGTAACCAAGTCTTTGTTATTTTCTCTCTACATGTGGACTTCAACATTTGAGGAGGTCTGAGCTGGTTGCTCCAGCCAGCCTGATGGCTTTAACTTGCCTCTTTTGTTTCAGACCAGAATGGAATCTGAAACTAGCATTTTTCTCTACTAATAGTTTAGAAACTTTTACATTTTGTAACTAAGCAACATTTTGACTGCCTGTGCACCTTTTCTGGCTGCTTTATGGAAAACCACATGAATCAAACCTTTCCAAGGTTTTGTAAGTTAACCATTTTATGACTTACTAAGTGTGTGGTCTGTCTCTCTTCTGGGGAAATGTGATAGTTTGGAAAGAACTTTTAAAAGGGGATGTTTTGGGGACTCGCTGAAAAGGCACATTTAAAAAGTTTTAGAGCCTTTCCCCACACTTTTCTTAGCTGTACATTTTGTGATTTTAAATCTGCTGCTGGGGTTCTCTCACCAAAGAGAACTTGCCTGAAACTTGGGTCTTGGCTTCCAGGATTTCAACACTTTTCAAGGGAGAAAAAGGTAACCACTCTCACCATCTCATGACTGTGAGGTGCCATAAATGAAGCAGGACTCATAGGCTTGGTAGGCAGCAGCAAGATAGCTCCAGGGCCCCATTGAGCCCACAGATATCATGTTGTTGATCCCAGATGTACAAGACACATACCACCTTTCCAGAGTGGGTTCATAGAACAAAGCAATTTACTCCCCATCAAATGAGCCAATGGATAAAAATATGCCTGGAAGAGTGCTCACGGCTATCAATTAAGGCAGATCTGGAGAACTGATGTGAGCCTCGGTTGCAAAGGTGAGATCATTGCTATGGTTGAATGGGGCTTACAGCAAGCAAGTCTTTAAAAGATTCCATAATATAAAGTGGGAGAGTTAGCAAAGGTGGGGGCACTGAAGGCAATTAAAAGCAGAATCTAATGTATCCAGTTGGGATTGTGTGCTCTGACAGGATCTCTCTAGGGTCTAGGTGGCAGGGGGGAGGGGATGTTCCTCCAGCCTTGTTAACCAAAGCTGCTTTTAACTTGAGATTGCCAGGGATTGGATCCAGAATATATTGCATACATGCATGCAGAAGGTAATTCTCCTGGATGTAGCCTGTGCAAACAACCCTGACGGTACTAGTTTAATATAAGTTATGAAACAATAGACAGTTGCTATCACCTCAAGAGGAATCTCCCAGGTGTATGCATAACAGAGGTTACCATGCTGATGAGGAGAAGTGTGAGGTGATAGAAAGGAAGCTTGGGTTTCTGGTGAAGGGTTTTCTGGGAAGAAGAAATGTTATGTACTAAACTTGAATCCTAGAACAATAGGCAGGTAGGATCCTAGAATGCAACGACTGATTGGCCTGCAGTAGCAGTCCAATCAGGCTCCAGGAGGGAAGCAGAATCAGCCAGTCAGATGGGACCTATTGTATAAATAATGTATATAAAGCCTGAGGTTTAGGGGGAAATTCATTCATTGTTTTACGAGCTGCAATAAAGATCATGAAATCACTGCAGGACTCCGAGTATATTTCAAGAAAGGAAATGGATAGAACTCTGTGTGAGAGGAGCTGAAGGGTAGAACCATCTTAGGAGACTGGGAGAGAGGCATAGGAATGCCATGCAGAAACATGCTATGAGAAACAATCCCAGCTTGTGAAGTAATACTGTGAACTCTCTCTCTCAATGGAAGACTCTAGATGTATATAGGCTCAAAATAAACCATGCATCTTAAAATGCTACAGCCTCTGCCATGTCTGGACTCCCAACCCTGGGTGAGGGCCAGGAACCACTAGAATCTTGCTACCACTCAGCAGGGATTGGGGTGGCATGTAGCAATATCATATTGGAAGGTGAGCAGGTGAACAAGCCTAGATGGCTGTGGGTGCTGCCAGAGAAACATGGGAGTTAGCATTGTCCTATGGGTTAACCTCAGGGGATGTGGCTTGTTCCTGAATTATATACTTCTGGAGGGTGGAAAAACAATGCAATTTTCCATTTTGCTCAGATGAGAAGGGGGGTGGATCTAAGAAGCTTTGGGGGCTAGGTTAGGATTCCAACAAGCCAGAAACATTTAATGTTGAGTGCTGATAATCCACTTCTGAGAGCATTCAACCAAAACAGGCCAAGCACAAAGGAGGCATGAACAATCCATCCCCACAATCTCTTAGGAACAAATGGATCCAAAACCCTTACACTGTATTCTTTCCATCCTTTAATTATCCTTGGAAAATATAATTCAGATAGCTGCAGAAATAAATTTACATGCAATTTTACCACCTCCCAAGAGTTCCAGCAGATGGGTGTATTTGCACTAATAATGAAAGGAACAAGATGTACAAAATACAGGCAGCTTCAAAGCCCAACTGTTAACTTGT